TCTCTCTCTCTCTTCCTCTCTCTTTGGCTGAAACGAAACTCATCAAGCGCCCGACAGCCGTGCGTCCACGCGCAATTAGCGATGGACATTCGATATTTGAACGATTATGTGATCGTATCCCGAATCTCTTTGAATATCCTTCGAATTCCCAAAAAAAAAAAAAAAAGATTATTATATCGACGATCATTGAAGTATAAACCGTGAAAGGTTGGAATATTTTCTTTTACGGAATACTTGCTTAGCGTAGCGTACAATCCTGTAAATTACGAAAGTAACAATGGGCCAGAAACTTGCGACTTCGACCAATATTCGAAGTGATTCGAAATTAATGATTCGAAAGATGGAAAATTTCTCGAAACGCAATGTAACAATGTTGAATATTTTAAAATGTTTTTTTTTTCTTTCTTTTTGCATTGTATGCGAATGAATTTGTGTAAGAATTTAAAACCACGAGATTTCAGGGATGTCAAATACTGATTTTACTCTTACATTGCCACGTGCGATCGACATTTTTACAAGTTGAACTTACTCTCGATACGATACGAGATTGTTAACTTATTCACAGCGTTTAATCATTATATAGTAATTAATGCGATCCAAAACTGTACGACTGAAACCGATTCGATTGACGCACGAAACAAAAAAAGAAAAAAAAACATATGAATGTCTATCGCTATATATTTCTTCGACATATGGAGAACCAGTTCGGAGTTCGTCCGTGGCGAAAGAAAAAAGAAAAGGAAAAAGGATATAATTATCGAGACAGTGTATAGAGTTTTTAATTTTCGTAAACGAAATTGTTATTTTTAATAAAGCGCGTGTTGGTGATCGACGATCGAAATCGGCGGCTCGGGTGATTCACAGCTCGCGATTTCATAATCGATTACGAACGATTCTGGTGAGATGAATGAACAGTCGAATATACAACAGAGTCGAGTCCCGTTACGTGGAAACATTTACAAGACGCAAGAGCCTGTCGGGAATCCTGTTGATCGTGCATTCAAGAATCGCGATCGATTTTCGAAAGTTGGAGTTCATTCGCGATTGAGATCGATAATTATCGTAATAAAACGAACGAAGCGTTGAGAAAAGGAAACAAAAGGGGAACACGAACAAAAGGAACGGAAAAGAATTGTTCACCTATCGCAGTCTATTGGTGTAATAACGCAACAATATGTCGTCGTAGAAAAGGAAAAGAAAAAGAGAGATCGTGTCGTAACGACGGTTTGAAACGAGTGACGCGAACGAATAGGAGAAAAGAGAAGAGGAAGCTTGAAAAAAAGGAGATAAAACGAAGCTTTTGAAGCCGAGTGATCGAGCAAGTGTTTGGCTGTGCTGTAGAATAGGAAAGAGTC